CAGAGACTTTAATGAGAGCATACCCCAGCTGACACTGGTCGGTTGGTACCATCACTCGCTGGGTGGTTCCGAAGAATCCGCAAAGCTACGGTGAGTGCTTCTCCTTTCAATCACTTGCGTGCCCTGGGGGTCTCGAGCTTTAGTGGGTTGGTGGAGACGTTTGATCGGATAGTCACAGATTGTTATGATCCTTCCAGACTCTGAAGAAGGCGATTCCGCCGAAACGTCAGGCTAATAAAGCATACTTGAAAACCTCGTGAAGAGTTCAAGAAAACAGTAAACTCAATGATACCTTACTTGGCTTTCCGGGCACCGTGCTCTATCCCTTACACTATCGAGACCTCGCTTGCCCTCGCCTTAATAAAGGCTTCAATGGCATTCAACTCGTTGTACGTGTGAGTGCTGATAAGCTATGGCACATAAGCCATTAAAAAGGCGAGGGCAAGCGGGGTTTCGGCAGTGTAAGGGATAAGAGCACAGTCTCCGGAAAGGACAAGTACGGGTTAGAATCCCGTCCGAGACTGAAATTTTGTCCATAAATCGCCATCCTTGTGAGACTATTATTTTTACTGTCATTTTTATTGATCGACGTGTGTGTAATTTTACGTAGTACATACTTTCCGTGATCCTGATCCCATATGTAAGAGTTCACGCTTTAATATACATATTGGTATTGAAATTACCACTATCTGTTTTTTTCAAATTTCTTCAATCATTCAGCAACATAATATTCACTATAGAATTCAAATTACGTGGCAACAATTACTAGCGAAATTGAAAAAACTTCTCAAATCTCATTTTCATTTTTTACCCATTTTTTTCAGTCCCTCTTGGATCAACCCTAGTAAAGGCAACCCTGTTTAGTCCATCCTAGTTAAGGGAGTATAGTATAGACCTACATGTGAAGAAAAACATTTTCTATTCAGACTGCAAGCTGGGGCTTATGGGGACAGTGGTCGGAATGCAGTCAATCGTGTGGAGGATGCGGTTACCGCACTCGTGTTCGTGGCTGTTACGGAGGAAACCGAGTATGTCCGTGAGTTGCTTACAAACTATCTTTTTCCTTTCAATAAGCCATGAAGAACTACATTTCGTAAACACTAATTAAGAATTAGAACACTAATTAAGAAAGAGCATGCCTCTCAGATCTGATGCTCAGCATCAGTCAGAATCTCGAAAAAATCGTATTTGGCAGATTTATTGGAACCATTTGGGAAATGAGAAATAGGTATAAAAAGATTCAGGAAGATTTTCAGATCACCGCTCGGATCGCTCCTTAATTGGTAAAAGAGAAAACAGAGTTTAAAGCAGTTTCATGGGTTGACTCAGGTCGATTTTAGTATGTTCATCCCTTGGTGGTTGCTTTAGGTCCCGATCTATTGTAGTTCCTGGCGTATCTCTCGTGACCCCTTGCTATTTTCATTACAAAGGTGGTTTCATCCATCATGATAAGGTATGAAGGGATGACTAATGTTGACCTCCATATTACATGACGAAAATTCCTTCTGCCTTACGACCCCACCCAAAAATTCATAAAAATCCCTTAAATTTGCCGTTGTATGTAGTTGAAAGGGCCGAGGTGGTGTAGTGGCAAGTGGCGCACTATATCGCACGCATGGAGAGGGGTACGAATCTCGGATCGATGCCCGCCTAGGCCAACCAAGCCCGCCGGGATAGGTGAATTGGTACCAGACTCGTCTGGGAGGATAAAAGCACTGGCTTGTACATCGGCTGGCCAGCGCAAGTCATTGTATAGGCCGCATACGCACTCATTGCGCCACTACAATTCTGAATGGAAGTCGAGTGCGGGGATGCATCCCTCAGACGGGATTGATCAACGCCAAATACTTTATCCTTTTATCCTTTATGTAGATGAAAAGGGTGATTAAGATGAAAAGGGTGATTAACTTCGGCCGTTTTCAAATCACTTGAAATTCGTTATTCTAGAGGAAGCGATCATCAAAGAGAACATTGTAATACACAGCCGTGTCCAGTCACTAAGGTCGTTGGAAGTTGCAATGGACGGATTCTGCTTCCATGCTATCTGGTGGATAGGATGACATTCGGTGAACAAGCACTAAGTAAGTTGTCAGCCACTATGAGAACAAGTTTGCATCCGAAAGCTGTCATCAAAAATGAACAGTTTAATCTCGTCTATTTTTGGTTTCGTCCTGTCGTAACTGTGAATATTCTTGACCTG